TTAAATAGAGCACCGTTTATCGTAGCTCACAAACAAAATCATTGCTGACCAAAGATCCTGCATCTTACAATGGATACCGGCTCATGTAAATATTTTTGGTAATGAGAAGGCCGATGAGCTTGCAAAGGCATCCCGTGATCCTCCTCAGCCATCCAACTGCCTAACCCTCGTTGATGCCAATGCAGTTGCCAGCCAAAGACTAATCGGTCAAGTTAAGGGAAACTCCATCCCGGAATTGAACTGTGACAGAGCCATATCGACTATCATAACCAGACTTAGGGACAAATCACTTAAAAAGGGATGAGGATTCTGGCAGACGGACAGCGTAGTTACACCAACATTTGTCCTCATTGCCCAGATGACATCCCACTGTCTCGCCATCACATCTTCAGCTGCCCAGCAATCCAGGCCAGACTGTTTAACATCGCCATTGAAGACCCAGTGGACCTACATTATACTGACAGAGCTGCCGAGGTTGCAGAAGCTGTCTTTGACAGCTTCGAAGCTATATAATTGCACTTTGTCATAGACACGACATCATCATCATCACCGTTTATCGTTTAATGTACCCCTAAATGTAAAAGCTGTGTGGCGTAAAATGTCGTCAGTTAAGAGACCAATTACGGAGCAGAAAATCACTCCTTAAATCTAAGAAATCTCACTCACTAATCACTCATCTAAGAAAGGCCAAATACAGAAGGAACTACATCGTTAAAAATGTATGACATTTTACGACAGCATTTTATTGACGTTACAAAACTGAATGACTTCCTTTTTCATATGAAGAATATCAAATTAAAGAATAGTGGATGAATAAAGAATTATGTCCATCTAAAATTTTATAATAAGTTTGAATAAATTATTCTTAAAAACCATTTTTTATTCCATACTTAATGATCACGGTATACTATACACATATTCAAAGAAAGCAAAAGTCGTATCTATGTATGTCTCTCTGTTTGTTGTTCCCCTAATCCGGGGATATCCAAAACATAATTTTAAGGCCATAAAGCTGTTGTACATACAGAGGCGTAGCTAGGGTTTCCAGCGCCCGGAGACAACTGAAGATTTTGCGCCCCTTTCTGTGTGGCACGAATGGAAAACACTTCATTCTAAAATTTCTTACCGTCAATTTGGCGCCCCCTGGATATTGCGCCCTGGGACAGATGTCCCCTTTTGCCCCACTCTAGCTACGCCACTGTGTACATATCAGTGGTACACACTTTGTTGTGTTATATGCAAACGGCGCTCTTGTCTGCTTTCAAGTAATTCAACATTTTTGAGATAAGACTCAAGATAATCAGGAAGGTATTCCGTAGAGAATAGAGAGGAAAACGAAACGTATATTAGTGTAACTTTCTTAGACTAATTAATATTATTTAGCAGCAATCAATATCTTAATATCATTCAATAAGATACGAGCATAAATTAAATTTTATTATATATATATATATATATATATATATATATATATAGCTTTTTAATGAAACTTTTTGCCTGTTTCTGTTTCTTAACTTGTTCTTTTATTGCTTGCTCATTGAACTATTTTATGTAACAGAATGGAAAAATTTACAGCCAAAGTAACGCTTACAATACACTAAGTATTTGGACACCTGTGATGAAACGAAAAACAAAATTTATTCATATTCAATAGATAGTAAAGCTTCCACGAGAGGCGGTTACAGTCTCACACTAATGTACCCCTAAATATAAAGGGCATACTTTTCCCTCCAGGGCATACTTTTCGTAAGACCTGATGGCTATCGGTGTTTACTTCCACTCGTCTCGGAGAAGAGATGCAAGTTCCTTCACCGATATTGGACGGTTGTTGCACCCCTTAATTCGGCGTCCAACTCGTTTCAGAGGTTCTAGATAAGGTTCAGGTCTGAGTTGTGAGCAGGCCAGTTCATTCGGGTAACCCTATTGTCACCATACCAATCCATCGTGCACCTCGTAACATGATACGTAACATGAACATGAACGTTTGTCGTCCAGAAAGTACGTCTAACCCACACGGAAGCATATTGTCATCCAAAATAATGCAGAAAATGTCGGCGTTGAGCTTACCATGAATTTGGACCAAGTGTCCCGTCGAAACTACAGAGGCTGTTCGCATATTTTTTAGACGATTTTCGTAAGCAGTAATAAAAAATCGTTTGCTGCAAAAGAAGTAATTGCAATTGCACTATGTTTTTAAAAGTCAAAATGATCGTCTGTGGCTTGAAAGTTTTGTTTTTATTCAAAATGGCGAATTGAACAAAGCAGTGGTTAGAAGGCTACATTTACGCTCTTTCCGAAGAGAAATATTTAAATCTTAAGAAAGCGAAAAAACGCAATGTGCGTCGTCTTCTTCCAAAGCATATCGCTCAACGCAGGACACGCTGCAGAATTCTATATGAGAAACACTTATCCAAAGAAAAATGGAAAACAATCATCACAATAGATGAAGCAGGGTGTATTTAAATGATTGTGACAAAAAAAAAAGCCGTTTATTACCATAAAAGGGGAGAAAAAAATTTAAGTACATTGTTCAAAGAATCAAAAGAAAAATTTTCTAAGGGATTCATGGTGGTTGCTGGTTTTTCTTATAATGGCAAGTTAAAAGTAAAGAGAGTGCAAAAAAATGTCAAGATTAACTCCAAATACTATCAGGAATATATTTTATCGCAAATTTTTCTGAATGAAATACCATCGCTTTACCCACAGTGCCATCAATTTGTGAGACTCTATCAGAACAAAGCTAGCAGTCACACATCAAAATCCACTGTAAATTTCCTAGAAGAAATGGAACAAAACCCTTCACTGATATCCCTACTAAATCTCCCGATGTGTCACCTATGGATTTTTGTGCTTTCGGACTTTTAAAAACTGCATTATCCAAACGTTGTCCCAAAACCCTATCAGGACTCTGAAAAGCTGTTCGGGAGGAATGGGATAGAATACCTCTTCTGCCACTTTAAAAGGCATTATTATCCTGGAAATTGGGGTGTTGAAAGACAATTCAGAATAAGGGACGCCAAATAGAACATTTAAAACACAAGAATTTTATGTAATTTAGTTTTGTAAATACAATATGCATTGTCTAAAAAATGTGTGAACAGCCCCTGTAGAAGAAACACCCTCAGACTCATTATAACTCACTTAGCTTACTAAACAGTGCGATCCCTGAAAAATAAACTACTTACGAATGGAAATGTGATTGCCGTTAGTTAGGGAACATTTATCTTTTTAGTTTTATTAATATTACTAGCAGCTACGCTGCCAGCCCTTCGTCGGGCTTTTAAATGTACCTGAAAAAGTGCCTGAAGGGAACACCAAACGTTAAATTTAAAAATTGCGCAGAATTTTACTATTCAGAACAACTTCATAAACACACACAATTTTTTTAAAAAATGGATTACATATAACATAATTACTATGAAATAAGCAATATCCTTTAATAAAAATATTAATTATCCTAATAAATAAATTAACCAACCTCCCGTTCCCTTCTCTCAACAAACGTCCAGTATCCAAGAGAAACGTTAAATTTAAAAACTGCACAGAATTATCACCCCCATTTTTTTAAGTGGCAACAACGCAGATTTTCAACAGTCAGCAGTCCAGTATACAATTGAATAAAAAACTGTTGCCAAAAACCACATTTCTAAAAGATGAAACTATTCAGAATGATGCGACTTCATCAAAAAACATAAAATAAAAAAAAAAAAAAAATCTGATTCGAATTTTGAAAAATTCGCTTCGAGGTGCACTGGCTTTTGTCTAGATGCACCTATACAGCAAATTTCGTAGCCCTGGGTCTATTAGCTTACGCGCAGCACAAACGAAAGACACACGGCTTTCTTTTATTATATGTAGAGATTTGATTTTCATTTTGGTGCGTTGAAAGGTACATGAAAAATGTCTGATCACTAGCACATGGGATTGTAACCACCTTAAAAATGTTTGAAAGATGGACAAATACCCATTGAGGAAAGAGGTGTAAACATTAGAACATTAATTCCTTAGATGGTTGACTATGCTTACTGCCGTGGCCAATTATGTTTATTGCATTTAACGAACAATGATATGATTGCATTTTAAGTCAAATTTCGATTTAATTAAACCTCATATCGAGTAAATTGGAAATAGTTGAGCGTTGGGAGTGATGCATTGAAACGGTTTCTGTATTTGGAGGATGTCCTTTTGTCATATGGCATAAGAACACACTCCATTTGAAGAAATTTTCTGATACTGAACTTGAACTAACCTTCAAAACATATTTATACCTGCTTTACAGTATTGACAGAATTTCAGAATATCAATACTTATAAGAAAAATATTGCTTTAAATCTTCCACTTATGTAAGAGACTAGCCAGATTATCACAGCTGCCTTAATAGTTTATGAATCTTCTTCCTAACAAACGATCAGCCTCAATCATATCATTGTCTCTGAAAACTGTTCACAGAAACAGCTCGGCTAATCTTTGGAATATGGTAACAGGTAGTTTGGCGAGATTTTGGTAAGGCGATAAAGGTTACTATTTAGGACTTTAGCAGTGTACATGGATAAAGACAAGAGTGTGCGTAATGCCATTTTTGTGCAATTCTATGATGTTTTTTTAAGTGAAAATAGGTTGACGTGTACATGGATGATTCCGTGTATGTAAAATTCTTAAAAATGCGGCAAGCAGTGGACGATTCTGCACTTTCTCCCAATTTCGCACCTAATCTTCGTCATGATTAAGCACTTTTGTTCCATAAAAGTTCTAGCATAAGCGTAATTCGGCTAGCAGATTGTTGGGAAAAAAATGCAGAGTAAAAAAAAAAAAAAAAAGCCTTTACTTCGTGAAAACAAAATGGCGTCCAAAAAAAACTAGCAGGTTGCTGTAGCAGGGTCGGTCGCCAAATTTTCGCCAAAAAATCGCCAAGTTACCATAATTCGAAGATTAACCACAGGCTCTTTATTAAATATACTGATATATGTACACCGACCTTATTCACAAAATTAAGAACATACCTATTAAACCAGTTTTCCAATAAAGTGTATTTATGTTCAGCGTGGATTTTTCGTTCTACTCTGTTTGGCGAAACCACGCTTTGGTGATAATAAGCCTTCGCCTTATTCCTGCATTCCCATTCACCATCTGTGGATCGACGGCATCCGCATATGCATTTCTGCCCACGTGGTTCAACCCCAAAAGGCGACACGGGAGGCTTTGGCTTGCTGTGAGTGGATACGAAAACTTTGCTTCTCATCTTCACTTCTTGCTGCGGGCAGACGCATGTCCTACAGTGAGGCAAGCGCCTTCTGCCCTCGTAATGCCGCTCAGTCTCTTCAATAAAGTCAGCCATACTGAAATGCAAATAGAAATAAATGCCAATAAAATATTAATCATTTAAAAAATTCGGTTAATTTTTAATTAGAGATACGAAGTTGACATTGGGGAACTTTTAAGTATTTGAACAATACTGACTACAAGTCCGCTGTTTTGGTATTGACGCAATTCCCATTAGTTGTCCGAATATCACTTTTATAATTGCTTTCAAACAAATCGGTATTTTTCCATTTCGCCGGCTCAAATGTCGCCAAGCAGCTTAATTGGCGACAACACATGCAATACACATGAAAATATGTTAACAGAATGTTAGTTCTAAGAATTTTTTACTTTAGAGGCATGAACATTTTAATATCGTTTCAATTTCTTTAATGGATCTTTTATTTCCCTTCTTCCATGTACATTCCGCTAGATAGCTATTCAGATGATGACCTGTCATACCTCTGTGTTCCTTATTTCGCCATTTTGGCACTTCCCCATAGTCTATCTTTTGTGTGTGCGTTCCAGTTTCCGTATTGACAAAATTGTATTTATACTTTGAAATGTTCGAAACATTCCTCTTCTAGTTTTTCAGTGCAGCATGGTTTCCACGAATCCGAATATATTATAGTTTCATTTTCAATATTTTCTTTAATTGTTTCTAATATAATGCTCATGTATCGATTTGGCAGCTTCACAAGGAAACATTCGATTCCTTCATGGCAAGATCCAGTGTTGTGGTAAAATCCATCCCGCACTGTTTTTGCGATTCGTGAATTACACTTTCATCCATTTCGACGATATCCAAGAATGCCAAAACTCGGATATATATTACGCCCAACGTCGTGCGATTTTAAGCATTACGAAAGTAATTTTGTCAACATAATAGCTGCCATCAAGGATCATCGAACTAAAAACTGGGGGGGGGGGGGGGGGGGGGGGGGGTGGGGGTGGGGGGGGGGGGGGGGGGGGGGGGGGGGGGGGGGGGGCCGAATATTATTTACTGGCAATGAAGTTGCAGCGCCACTGATTTGTCTCCAATACAATTTATCAGATTATCAAATAGACCTTGGCCCAAAGCTTCGCTGAAGAATTGACAGAGTTCTCTTTTGGCAATCCCAAATTTTCAGTGGTTTTTCTTCCATTTTTGACGGTATCAGTCACGTCACGAAAGGTTACCAGCCAGGATATACCGTTGGCGACTTTATCGCCTGCGCCGGCGAAATAAAGTACCAACAAATCTTTGCCTAAAACTGCCAACCTCGTACACTTTTGTACCTCGTACTCAATTGAAGATTAAGGTACTTTTCCCTTTTGCCTGCGCAAGCGATAAAGTCGCCAATAATAGTACAATCGATGCCAAACGGAATATTCTCGCTGGTAACCTTTTACGCCTCATTTTCAAAACAAGTCGCAGCTTTTTCTTATTAGATTGATTGTTTCTTTCAATACTGGCATATAATTACATAGAATTTTTATCAGATAGTTCAGTTTTATGTCTAAGGCCATTTTCGGTAATTAGGTCAATTAGGATGCAATCAATCACAGCGACTTACCCGAAGCCGAAAATATAGAAAAGGTAAAGTCAAGGGTTAAATTCATCAATTCTAAATGAGAATTCATTAGCGACGAAGTAAAGCACTGCAGTTTTACATAATTTCTGAGTAAGTATTCGTATTCGTACGCATTGAAATATTGCTTGCATTTAAACTTCTATTCCAAATTAAGATTTAACTTGAAATTAATGTAGATAATTACTGAGAGCATTAAATTTTGTAGAGTAGTTACGTAAGATGAGATCGCTTGGGGGTCACGTGATATGAACCGGCGAATCAGGATGTTGAACCATGAAAGCATAGTAAATTCTTAAATTAATGTCTTTTTACAAATTTATTGTTTTTATTTATTGGATTTTTATAAAATTTTAAGCGATATTAAAATGTTTATGCCTTTAAAAAAAGAATTCTTAGAGCTAAAATTTTTTTAATATTTTTTATGTGTATACTGTATGTTGTCGCCAGCTTGGCGAGATTTGCGCCGGCGAAACGGAAAAGTACCAAGATTAACTATAAATTCAGCCTTATAAGACTGCAACAAGCACTTTAAAATAAAGATTCTCAAAGGATAAAGCTTTAACAAATAAACGAACTTGGTTTAATCTTTATATATGGTACACACTGGATTTGGCGACGTTGTGATGAACAGTAAATGCGGTATTTATAATGAGCAGTAAAAGTGTCATTTTGGTGTTGGCGACAAATTTCAAAAAATCACGCCAAGGCCATACCGTATACTAGGATTTTACCACAAACGTTAATATCAATACATCATAAACGCGAATTAACAAAAATATGAAAATTCCATTTGGAAATATTATATCACTGCAGTATGCAGCTTCAACGACTACCAACTTCAACGGCTTAGTAGAATACGTTCGCGTTCGGCATTACTACCTAAGGGGAACAGTTTAAATGTTTTATAACTGTAGGCAAAATTTATATATGCAGCACAATGAGGATTTCACACTACCTTTGAAACCTTTTTGCATTTAAATGAAACATTTAATCACATCAGTTTGCCCTGGGGTTAAGAACGAACCCTGGGGAAAATATTCTTCATTAAAATTAAAAACATTTATAGTTAATATTATGTAAATATTAATAAAACTTACCTTTTGAAAAATTTTCTTTAATGTAAAATTTTAACCGGTGCTAGAGCATTAGTTTGCCTTTGGTAATTGAAATAAAATATTTTAAGAGGGTTTAATTGTTCTGTTACTACTGCTATGAGAATTCAGTGATTTTATTACGTCATTAGTATTGCCAGATTTAATTTGAATTCATTTATGGTAATATTTTGTTATGTGTTTTGTAACATATCATTTATTCACATAAAAAAGTACGTGTTACAGCTAATAGGGGGGGGGGGAAAGCGAGATTTCTTCAATATTTGATTTAGCTGTTCCGTGGTGTGTTACTTTAGAAAAATAAAAAATTTACAGATTATATTTGCCAAGAACTTGCATATTTTGTGAAGCAATCATGTTGAAATTTTCGTGTATGAAATGGAATTAAAGTATGTTTTCTACAAAGTTATTATGTGCAGCATGTTGCACTTCTTTTTTTTTAGTCATTGCTGTTTGTACTTAAAGTTTAATTTGTTAGATACGACAGTAAATGTTCACCATTTTGTCCATTAATAAACTCATTTCTACCTAAATAATCTCTGTAAAATTTTAAACACAAACAAACAAGTTTATTCTACCAAAATATAACATTATACAACTGTTGCCACTCAAAGCAAAAGTAAAGGGAAAATAATACTAGACTGGTTGAATATATATGAACAATGCTATACTTTATACATTTTTTTTTAAAACCAAAGAAAGCAACATTATTTATTTTTACTTTCTTGTACGAGGTGAAGGAAGTATAATAATCGTGAAAAATTTTGGATATCATAACAGTATTTTAACGAAAATATCTATTTTGATCGCTCTCGAATTCATTTGAAAAATTTTTTTGCGTGACGTCTGTACGCACGTACAGAATGAAGGGCTCTTTTTTTTTTTTTTTTTTTTTTTTTTTTTTTTTTTCAAAACAGATTGTAAAATGGATTCAAAATGAGTTCAGAAGGTATTTTTTCGTGACATCTGTACGTACGTGTGTATATACTTCGCATAACTCAAAAACCAGTAGCCTTAGTACGTTGAAATTTTGTATATGCGACTGCTATAACATGCAGTTGTGCACCTCCCTTTTTGGTTGCAATCGGCCGTACCAAAAGTATACCCACTCCGTTACCCGGCTTGTTGAGCTCACCTTTTTTATTCTTATACTTTGGTAAAGTGAGCGTTTTTTGCTTTCAAAGTGATTGAATTCTGTTGTTCTTATATCTGTGTTAAAATACTTGCGCGTTTAGTTAATCTGCATACAATAGCTGTAGAATTAGTTATGCCAATTATTTGGGATTATTTTGTTAATTTTTTAGTGAAGGAGGTCTTTTTGGATTTCCTTATCCGCCGACATTATGATGAGCAGTAAATGTGGTATTTATAATGAGCAGTAAACGAGTCATTTTGGTGTTGGCGACAATTTTCAAAAAATCACGCCAAGGCCATATCGTATACTAGGATTTTACCACAAACTTTAATATCAACACATCATAAACGCGAATTAACAAAAATATGAAAATTCCAATTGAAAATATTATATCACTGCTGTCTGCAACTCCCTTTTTGGCCTATTTCTCTCTAAACAGAATTTTATTTCTCTCTAAACAGAAGAAACTACACATGCTTATTCTGTGATATGCCTATTTCTGTGATTTCAGCGTTTATCACTATTATTCACTAAACAGTGGAAGAATATTTATTATATGATCAAGCTAGTGAATAGTTATTGTTCACATTTATTAAAAGCGTGATGCTGTAGCGATGAGAGTGATCATCAAATGAACAAATTAATCAAATGATCCACATTTTACATATTGTTACGAATTGCCCATCTGGCGGTAAGATAAGCGAGGTTAATGTTGCCAGAAAGTGGCAGGGAAAGGCAGGATTGCCAGACTTGGTGCGAAATTACCCTTTTGGTGATATTTAGCGTCAAAATTAGAGAGAACATTCTAGAACGCATTCTTAGCGGTTTTCCACGAGAGTGTTCTCGAACGTAGGTTAAAGCTATACATACCCTGCCTGTACGCGGATAAAGAAGTATCTTGAGTACAGTACAACTCCAATTATCCGAACTTCAATTATCCGAATCGCTTTCAGAATTTAAGAAAACCTGATGTGTACACCACATGACTTCCTTGTACGGAATATTAAATTATACGCATTTTTTTTTCTTGAATTTCATTTAAATTGATTGGATTGAATTAAATCTACTTCGTCGACAGCGCATAAACCACAATAGAATAAATGCATCTTTAAAATTCTCTATATTTGTTTACTATAACGACACTCTGAATGCACAAAATTTATTTCATTTGAAGGATTATCGTGCTACATGTTCTATTCAAATATATAATAAAGCTA